CAGCCTAATTCACCAAGAGCAGGGATCAAATCCACCCTGCAGAGGATCCTCGCCTTGTAGTGGGTCCTTGGTCAGCTGTAGAAGGAAGAGTCTAGAGAAGGCCCCGAAAGGAGGTAGATGCCCCGGCCCTTCCTAAAGTGTCATCCTTCTGAAAGGAGGGAAATGATAAGTTAGAGGCCAGGACACAGTGGCTGAGAGTGGAAAGAACTCACACATGAGGGTTTTAACTGAAGACGGGGAGAATTACTCATCTGCTCTTAAGAGCGGCAGAGACCCAGACTTGTAGCAGCAGAACATTCGTCTTGACTTTGAACATGTAAAACCATCCCAAATATTCTCTGAGTGACATAAAACATGCAGGACCTCAAATATATGTGTGTAATGTGTGGGGGGGGTACATGTCTGTGTGGGTGTGTATCACAATGCATCGGGAGGTGGGGAGGGGATCCGACACAGCCCAAGCTGACTTCAACCACGATACGTCACCCAGGACGACCTTGAACTTCCAGTCCTCCTCCTCCCGCCTATTGGGAGTTGTGATGACGAGCATGTATCCCACGCCTGTTTCAAATATATTCTTCAGTTACTTCAATTTCATCATGAGCTTTTATCTTTAAGTTTAAAAAAATACCAATTTCCCTGCTTTCTGGATACATATAAACAAACCTTTAGCAAAAAGCACACCAAGGACAAGTGTGTGTGCACGTCCACAAAAAAAGCAAGTATGCATGCATGAACATATGCATGCCACATGATAAAAACAAATAAAGCAAAGCTTCGTAGTCAGTTAATAACAAGGAGTATTTTATTGAAGGTTGAGAAATATTATTAGGAGTGGCACCCTTAGTACCACTTATAAGCACTATTTACTGAACGCAGAGCCACTGAAGAGGATCCCAGGGGAACACATCGTGCTGTGTCAGACAGGGTGCCGCACTGGTGCCTGGGATCACCATTTGAAGTCTGGTGGGAGATCAGAACCCACAGAGAACGTCTACCCTCAGAGAATTGCTGCACTGGCTTCCTGACTGCCTCGTTGAATCTCTGTATGGGAGTGTAGGGCTCGGAGCATGACAGTGTGTCTCACCCTCAGAAGCCCCACGGCACTCTCTGCACTGGTCAGCCCTCGAGGAGAAAACACAGACCTGTTTGCATGTAAATGCAACTTTGCGTAAATGTACCATTTAAACGGGACTGCCATTTTATACTCTCCCTCCTCTCAAGCCTCTCCCTCCCCATTTCCCTGTCTCTCTCTCCTTACTTATTAAATGCTTTTCCTCAAGAAAAATTTCCCCCAAAACTCACAAAATGCTCCAAACCTCAGCAAAGTGGCATGCCCTGAGAATTGGTATTCGTGAGCCAGGCGTGCTGCAATCTGATTTCTCAGGATTGATGCGTTCTCTTTGAACAGTGAACACACGCGTAGGCTCAAAGGGCCCATGACAGTCACTTAGGAATAACGCAGACATTTGTGTCTGGGCAAGGTCTCCCCTACACAGGAAACCTTTTGTAAATATTAGTCACTAGAACCGGAACACTAATAGATGTAGTTAATAATTATCACGATGTGCCAAAACTGCACAGTTTGCTCCCTGATTGCAATATTAAATTGCTATTGAGCTGTGGTATTCGCTTCAGGCAACGCTAGTAAGAACCCCCCGAAGACCCAGGCTGGCCTCGCCACACAAAAATGGAAAATGTTCCGTTGCACACAATGCTCAGGCAGCAGTGGGCTTTGCCAGAAAACAAACAGAAAACTCAGACAATAGAAGGGAAAGTTTTATCGGAGCTGAAGTGTCCTTTCACTTGGGAACTGTCGTCTCTCAGAAAGAAAAGCACGCACACTCTTGATAGTAGCTCACAAGGCAAGCCATTACTATGGGTACAGTGACTCTTGGTGCAGATAGAGAGCTCTACACAGCAGAGCTCAAAAGCCTTGTTTTATTTGCATAAGATTAGGTCTGGAGATAGGCTGAGCAGCCTCTGAGAAGTTGAGGGCCCCTCAGAATGCAAACAGGCTTCTCACCCCATGAGCAGAGTGGGAATATTCTTTTCCCACACACCCCCCTCCTCTGGGCTTGACAGGTCAAGTGGCCTGGACAATGGGGCAGAGCTACTGAGAGCAAAACTGCAATTTAATTGAGAGGTGTCATTAGGTCCAGGACAGCACATTCAAAAGCAGACACAATGGGGCACTTGTCAGCCGCAGCGCAGCGCACACCAATCCACCCCTCATCCACCCACGTACTGCCACCCCGCCTCCGTATCTGCAATTTCAGAGACCCACAGTGGGCAAATGAGCACTTAGCAGTCAATCTGCACATACTGCCGCCCAGTCTGTGCGAACGGGGGGGGGGCGCTGCCTTGTCCTCCTGGGGACTCTGAAGCATGGCGAGGGCTCGCCCACTATGGAGGCGGCACTCAATACATTGCTGCTTTACAGGAAATTGAGGGTCTGTCCTGTGTGCAGCGGGGTTGGATGGAAAAGAACAGTGGCTATTAAGCGACTAATTAAGAGAGATTCTGCAAGAAGGATGTACTAGGGCCTTCACCTTTCAGGCCACACGAAGCAGTAAATAGCCTGCAAGATGTTTTTGTGCAGGCCGGGAGGTTACATGGGCAGTCACCATCAGCCCGCTCAGAAGCTGTGTCGTCTGTGGCCTGTGTGGGCAGACACAGTAATGGATGCTGCTTACCCAGAGGAGACAGGAAATGGTTGCTCTGCCCCCAAGCTGCCAGGCTAATGCTCAAGATCACCAAAGTGTGGTGGGCTGGACCCATCCCCCATGTGAAGGTCCATCTCGTGTTAGCTCAAGAGGCGGCTCAAGCCTCCTTATCTCCTGGAGTTTTTCCAGGTACCAAAGCACCTGCCAAAGAGGACGGGGATATCCATGCTTGGAAAATTGGGTAGAGCTAAACACAAGACCAGGATGCTTTTATAAGTCTTTCCAGTGAGTCCCAGAGATCAGCCTGTCTCCATCTCCCCACAGCTGGGATTTAAAAAGCATGCCACCTGGAAGCTTTTACGTGGGTTCTGAGGGATCACACTAGCAAGACAAGGCATTCTCAGCCAAGCTAACACCACCACAGCTCCTCCTTAGTTTTTAATTGCTATATAATGCCTGGGTGTGTGGCATGATGACTTGGTACATGTACATAATATGTAGACATGAAATTGAAGCAAGCAGCATTGTTATCCCCTAATCATTTACCATTGGATGGGGTTGTTTTAGGAGCCCATGAATTCTTGTTGTCTCACTATTTATGAAGTTGGTAATAAATTACTGTAAACTCTAGTCACCCCCCCAGGACCTATAGAATATCTGCATGTGTCTAACTGTAGATCACTATCCAATCTCCATTTTCTTCATCTCCAAAACTATTATAAATTTCTTTTTCATGTATTAATCTATGTTTTGTCAGTTTCTCCTTCATTTTCCCATTTACAAAGTGGCGTAACAATGGGCCAGTTACTGTCCCCTCTCTATCAGCTTCTTATCTAAGCCTGGGGATATACAAATGGCTCTGAGATCCCAGAGAGAATGAACTCTGGGTGCACAGCAAGCCTTGAGTGGATGTTGGCTGATGTCATCATGACTGGCAGTCTCACTATATTACTCTTGCCTTTTACTCTGTCCGAATTAGCACAAGGTCTATGAATGAGTGAACGAATGAATTCTGAATGAATGATTTAAGTGACAAACATCTTTCTATCCCAACGCATCCACTCCCATGATCAATGACCCTTTCCAGAAAATCAGGAGATTGTGATCATAAAGTTTCACCTGCTGCGCTCTGGGCCCCACAGGCCTCAGTGTCAGCCGCCCGATAATGTACAACCAAACAGAAAAGAGCCGAGCCTTGGCAGTGGGGGTCTCCCAGTGCTGTACAAAGCCAGTGAATTTGAAGAGAAGAGTCACTCCAGCAGCTCCGGCCAGTCATGGAATGTGTACTAACTGCATACATATGTCCGCAGTGCCACCACAAGAAGAAAATAAACCAATAGAAAGTTGGGCATCTGTATTGAAAGCCCCATTGCTGAATAGATCCCTGAGCTCAAAGTGGTAACACCTTACTGAAGATATTTTTAAGGAGTGACACAATTGATAGCATCCTTATAAGTGAAATCTGTGGCGTTCCAAGTCCTCCATCAGTTTACAATACCAACATGTGAACCATGAGCATGTTACTGAAGCTTCCTGGGCCACATTCTTTTTTTCCCCAATTTTATAAATTTACTTTTTATTTATTTCTTTTAATTTTGTTTTACATTCCAACCACGGTGTTCCCTCCCACCCCTCCTCTGCCCCTTCTCACCTCCCGCCAGTCCACCCTCCATCCACTTCTCCCAACAGGTAAGGGCTCCCATGGGGGGTCAAAGTCATGGGCCTCACATTCTTAGCTGTGAGATCGGACTGATGACAATCTCACAGGCTTTTGAGAGGCTCAAATAGAAGAGTCCATGTCTATGACTTAGGACAGAGCCCGTCGCATCAACAGCTCAGGTGCTGGGACTCACCAGTCTCTCCATACGGAATTCTGGGCAAAGTGAGACGTGGACTTGAGCTTCCAAAACAGAACCAAACATTCATTTTACAACTGGTGACTCTAGACTGGAGAGCTGGCTGGTTTCATCCAAACTGAACTTTCTACGTCTCTTAGCTCTAAGTCACAGATACCTTGTCATCAATAGAAGACAGAATTACACCCACCACCCCATTGACACAGAAACATATGTTCTCTTCTGCTGTGGTTTAGAAGTTTGTACCCTAATGGTTCACACTCTGGAAGCATGGGCTTCAGTGTAGCAGTCCTGAGAACTGGTGGCATCTTTGAGAGGTCAGGCTTGGGACAAGAATGTTAGGTCATGGGGGAAGAGAGGGTGCTGCCTTCAGAAAGGTCATACAGTTCTCATGGGACTCCATGTAGGTTCTAGGAAAGTAGATTTTTTACAAGAGGCGCAAGCCCAACTTGTGAGTCCCTCTGGCTTTCTATCTTACCATGTGATCACTCTTGCTCACTTACACTCCCACCAGTGTGATGACGTCCACAGAGAGCTGAATCAATGAGGCTGTGTAATCTAAAGCAGGATCCAGGGCTGGGGACACAGTTAGTGGCAGAGCATTGAGCCAGCACTCAGGGGCCCTAAGTTCAAACATCAGCACTGAAATAAAAATAAATAGATAAATTGTAAGAAACAGAACTAAAAGGAAACTTGTCTTCTCCATAATGTGTACAGTCATGAGTATTTAGTTGTAACCCAGAAACAGTATCTTCCCACTAGTGATGACATCACAGGCTCCCAGTGCCCTGCCTCCCTCTGCTGTCCTCCTCCTGACTCCCACAGACAGGAACTGAATCTTCCTAGCCTTCCACTGGTCCTCAAGATCAATGAGCTGCTCCTCTCCCATATGTAGGTGACTTCCCAGCCTCTTCCTTTGCTTCTCCTTCCCTTTCCAGACTAGGTATTTATCTCTCTGATTAGTGTTGCCAGTTCCCTTGGAGCCTCCAGCAGTGCAACAAGGCCAAGCATTTTCAGAGTCAAAGATCCCAGCCCTTTCCTTTAGTTGTAAAGGTTTCTGTTCTCTTTTCTAGTTTGGGCCATTTGACCACAGTCTTACATAAATTCTTCAACTTCATAAGTACAATCAGGGTTGCCCACAGGTATAACTGAAGCCCATCCACTGCCCCAACTCTTCTTGTCCACTCTACTATTGCGTCCCAAACTTGGATAATCTGCTATCAAGGCTCGTCATCCCATCAGATAACTAATCTTGTCTAAGTCCTTCTTCTTCTTATCTTCTTTCATATGCTTTCCAGGATGTGTCCCTCAGGGGTTAAACAGTCATGCTCCCACCCACAGTTTCTGTGTTTTCCTAAGCCCTTCTAATTCTAGTTAAAATCCCCAGGGCTCATTTGTCTGGTTTTCCTCTCCCAAATCTGTTCAAAACATCTACCGTGTCGGCCAAGCCAACCCCCAGGACTCCCAAGTGCCTTTCACTTTAACTCCTTAACTATAGCACTAAGAAACACCTCACCGATACAGCTCAGCTCTGTTGGGGTCCATCATTCATTTGTTCCCTAAGCTCTCTCTGTATCCCTTCTTGGAATCTAATCATTCCCTTAGTCCCCTATGGACAAGTAATACACCTGGTTATTTTTTTTTCTTTTTCCTTTCCTATCAGTCTCTCCTAGATTTTTTTCTCAGAAGCTTGCCAAAATCCTTGCAATGAGAATGAATTGAGTTCTTTTAAAGTAACCAATGAGGCAGACAGCTTAGAATACTAATAGAAATCACAGACCAGACTACAGGTGTGAACCGTTGATTGACTTACAGATAGGTCAATAATCAGTTTATTCCTGCTTTGTTCTTGGCTCTGCATAGAAGATTGAACTTACAGTACTCATGGGTTAGCAGCTGTTCCAGAGGTGAACGGTTTCATGGCCCACACTCTAGATTTTGAAGGGAGCAAACCTTAAGGTCTGACCTATATACCCACACAAACACTGTAAGCAGAGGCAGCAGCTGGGTGTATTCTGGTCATTGTTACAAGATGTCCCGAGCTAGAAATGATTTGTGATGATGATTCCATCATGATTCCATTCCCTCATTTGAAGTCAATAGTACAGATTGACCTCCAAGTTCAAGCTACACAAAGTTTTGAACATTTGGCAAGCATTATCTATTACATATGTTGTAGCAATATAAAATCTATCTCCTGGGAAAAGTATACACAGATTTTGATGAGACTTAACTTGGAAACAATAGCCAATCATCCAGATATATTGCTTCCTTTTTCCCAAAGCAGGGGCAACTGGACCATCACCTATGTGATGCAGTTTAGGGAGTATCCGGTCTACAGAGGACAAAGACCCTCCTGGAACATCTGGTTTCCAGAACCTCAGCCTCCTTTCAGACCTGTGGTAACTTTCCCTCATGCCCTCCCCCCCAAATAAAACAACCCCAGGCTTCCTTTGCCATTGTGTAGATGCCAGGTTTTCCCTTATCTGTCTGCATTCTGAGACCACTTAATCGAAGTCTTCCCTTTTCTTTTTTTCTTTTCTTTTTGTTTGTTCATTTATTTTCTGAGGTTATTTACTTTTTGGAGACAGGGCATTTTTTTCCAGGTGGCATCAAACTCAACTGTATGGCTGAGGATGATCTATATTCCTGATTCTCCAGCCTCTACTTCCCAAGTGCAGGGACTACAAATACCAAGTCCATCTTGATCACAGTCTTTTCTTAAGGAAGTTCTTCTCTTTCATAAGAACAATCAGAATGGCCTTTCTTTTGGTCTATCACTGTGCCTGTTCCTACTTCCAAATCCAAGTCAGGGATCGATAAAAAGCTTTTTGATCTATTATATCTTATTTAAGAGATGTAGTTGAAATCATTCGCCAGTTTTCCTCTATCTAACTGAAGAGGCTGGTATTCCTGAGTGGCTAAAGGCCCACTTCTCTTTCTAGACTCACTCACAAATTCTGCCTGCATCTGAACCCCAGGCCTTAAAAAGCTACCACTAGTGTGGAAGATTGTATCACTAACGAGTGAAAGACAATCCAAAAGCATGCTGATAAGCAAATGCACAACACCAAGAGAGTCCTGCCATTGTTTCCTCTTGGAAACAGGTCAAACCAGACTAAAGAAAAGAATATGAAGGAACTGATCAATAACTACTGTAAGTTGCTTTTCCATCAATGGCAGAGTCAAGCATACTCACCATCCAGTGTCCTGACCTACAGGGAAACAGAAAGAGACAGAAACGGAGTCTGGCAACATGTCTCAGTGACAGCATGAGGACCTGCACTCAGAACCCCAGAACACACATGAAAAGGTGGTGCAGAGACACATGTCTGAGTACAGTGCTGGGAACCAGAGTCAGGCAGATCGCTGCAATTTCTCCACAGCTAGCCCTGCTTAATTGATGAGCTCCATGTTCCATGAGAGACTCAATCTCTGAAAATAATGTGGCAGATGATTGAAGAAGATATCCAACATTGACCTCTGGCCTCCACACACACATGCACATACACATACACATATACCACACACACATACGTACATACATGAGAAAAAATCAACCTTTTTCCCACAAAAAGCTTTATTTTTATATCCAGTGTACCCACTAGTGCCCAAAACATCAGCCTAACTCCCATAGCCTCTGCTTGATTAAAAAAATAAAGGCACATACCTGTAACTACCAGCAATAAAGATGTCACAGATTGTGGAGATGACTCTGAAAGACCCACCCTACCCAAAGCTTTCTTCCATGCTACACTATTCCATTACTCAGGTCCCTGAATGGGCTTCTGCTTGAGATTTCCAAGCCCTTTGTCACACAGAAGACTAGCATGGAGCTCCTTAATTGGAAGTCCTCTCCATTCCAAGTTTCAAGTCAGTATCAATAGCCAATTAAGATCAAAATGCCAATTCTGTTACCAGTACAAGGAATTAGATAGTTCAAAATTTACTGGCAAAGAACAAACACCAAGGTACATAGTTAAAATTTAAAACTGAGCACATAACTGTGTGACCTAAGTCATCTTTATGTGTATATGTAGAGACCAAAGCAGGCTCTTTATACCATCTCATCATATCTGGATCTTAGGATCTGCTCGTGAGTGATTTGGAACATTAGGAACAAAAGGATAATTAATTAAGAGTTGGGTTTGTCTTGCTCTCCACTAAGTGGCATAATAAAGACCATATGTACGTGCCATTAAGCCATACATGCACATCAGCCGTTAAGCCCTTAGTCCTTTTCACTAGAGAAGCAATAATTATCCCATTCTTATCTCACCAATTGCACATGTCTCCAATTCTAATATGAACACACCAGTGAGAGGGATGGAGGAGAGAAGAAATCATTTCCAATATGGCACCATTGCTGCACAAGTGTATAAGACTAGATTTCCACTTAGTTGACATAAACTAGTCCTTGAACAACTGACCAGTGTCTGTGAACTTGTTATGATAGTTCAGAGTAAACTTGTTGTGATGGCTCAGTGTGAACTTGTGATGGTTCAGTGTGAACTTATTACAGTGGTTCAGTGTGAACTTGTTGTGATGGTTCAGTGTGAACTTGTGATGGTTCAGTGTGAACTTGTGATGGTTCAGTGTGAAATTATTACAATGGTTAAGTGTGAACTTGTTGTGGTGGTTCAGTATGAACTTGTGATGGTTCAGTATGTACTTGCTATGATGATTCAGTGTGAACTTGTTATGGTGCTTCAGTGAACGTCCATCCACACAGTTTAGTCCAAAGGTAGGCAAGTTCTTTCTTTTGTTAATTCTTTGACAATTTCACACATGCTTTCACTGAGTTTTGAACATTTTCGCCCTTGCTTTCTCTCATCCACCCATCTCTCCTGCTGCAACCCTTTTTCTCAGCAAGGGTAATATTCCTGGACTAAATCAAAGTCTAAACTTGGGAGGGGGGAACCTACATAACCAAGAAGAGCCCTATAAATTTCAAACCACTGGAACATTCTGATTCTAGAACTCCAGGGCTGATGAGTTTCCAGTGGGGAACAGGGTTTCCCTCTGAGAAAATAAGAGGTAGATGGGTGGTACAAACATTTCCAGGCAGGCAGCCAAGTCAGTGACCCTAGGCATGCATGCACCGTGAGACACGGTTTCCTTCTCTCAGGCTGACGTCCAAGTCCCTTCCCATGCCCAATCATATCTCCTTATATCTTTTAAAGACCAAATTCAGAAAAATCAGTGGACTCTCCTGTTTCCAAGGCAAAGAGCTATCAGGAAACGGCAATTTGCACACATCTGCCGCTCCCCACCCCCTCCATCACCTGCTGCAATCTCTCGGAGGTCAGGTAACCACAACAAAAGGCAAAATGACAACTTCAATGACGAGCTTGCTGGGGGCACAGCCAAGACACCCGGCATTTCTGTTGGCTTTCTGAGCAGCGGAAGCAGTCGCTGCCAATGCTGTTCAAAACTCTGGAGATAAGTGTATTTAAGGTCTTTTAAAGGTTTTCCCACCTTTTGATACCTCAGCTGAACACTGGATAGCTGGGGGTTTGGGTGTTTTCACCCCTGTTGCCCTAAAGCTATCATTAAACGGTCTTGGTGACAAGTGTGGTCTGGAGGAAAACAGTTGTCATACTATACTGCTCACATCCTGATCTCGCTGAGCTCACCATTTTCTTGGGAGGAACCAGAATCTTACTAGTTTCAGTTTACTCCCCTAAATACACATTCTCAATGAAACTCTGCCATTAATACCAAATATTTCTGTCACCCAACTAGCTAAGTGCGACCGCTGTCTCACTGACAAAATCTGCCATCGGCCTGGATTAGTCTGCACTACCTGTCTCATCAGAGAAACTGCACGACAAATCCACTTCTGGTCCCCAAGTTAACACGACACCGTCAAGGCAACAGTCAGAACACATTTGAGTTCCGGACTCCCGTGAAAGCCTATCGCTCAAGTAGACTCCTTGCTGAAGGGACGGGAGCTTCCCTTTGCTGAGGGTGAAAATTGATTCTGTCGGGGAGAGCTTCAAAACCATTTGAGCCATTAAAATGTGACTGGACATATTAGGAAAAGCAAGGGGGGAGTGAGGCAGAGCGTGGGGACTCCTAGGGGAGCTGAAAAAGAACTCCATCCAGAAGAGGCTCAGTAGCCCTGTGTTCATCTTCAACAGCAACAGCCTGGCCAGCCTCATGACCACTGGGCAATAAACATGTGTGATCCATTTATTTAACACAGGTAGATGGGATTCATACCAAAAATTAATAATGTTGGGTTGAGGGTATGTTCAGTAAGGTTGAGTGTTTACCTAACTGATTATTACCTGGGCTCAGTCCCCAACACTACAAAAATAATGATACGGGTCAGCAAGATGTCTCAGTGGATTGTCAGTTGTCACAACCTTGACAACCTGAGTTCAGTCCCAAGAACACACACTGGAAGGAGAAAACCAACTCCTTCTTGAAAGCTATCCTCTGATCTCCATGTGCCTGCCATGGTATCGGCACAGCTACTCACTCTGTCTCTGTCTCTGTCTCTGTCTCTCTCACAAACACACATGCACATACTAATTAGTTAATTATATAATAATGAGGATAATGACAATGACAATTCAGAGGATATTGAGGAATGTTGAAGTTAGTTCCCAGAAAGGGGGTGGGGACACAGAGAGGAAGGAAGGAAGGAAAGAAGGAAGGAAGGAAGGAAACCATCTTCCAGAGTGTAGCCCAGAGCCTGGACTGTTCTTCCAGCCTGTCCACCAGCAGGAACAAGCAAAGCTCCTAGAAATACTCAGAAACCAAGAGGATGCCTGATGGCCATGGCACCATGGTTCCTAAACTGTGGTCTCCAGATAGCAGCAACAGCATCACTAATGTCTTAGAAATGCAGATTCCCTGGTCCCAGTCTCGACCTGCTTATCCAGAACCCCTGGAGGTAGGGCTCAGAAACCCATATTCTGCAAGCACCAAACTCTCTGCTGCCAGTTCATGTAGAAAAATTATCTTCTAGCAATTACAGAGCAATCATCACGGCAACTCATAACACAGTCACTCTATCAAGCAACACTTTAGTCACCTGCCTCTCCATCCCATTCCATCTAGAACATAGCTGGTCATTTTCAATTGCTATGGCCCAGATCCACTCCTTTATCATGTCCCTGCCTAATCAGCCCTGTGCACATTGGAAAATGACACCACAGTCACCCAGCCATTCTTTGGTGCTGTAGTGTGTGAACCCAGTTTCTCTGAAAAACTCGGTAGAACCTGATCAAAAGAAAGAAAAAAAAATGTTCCAGATCAGAGCCCCAGCCTTGTCAGGTGTCTGCTGAGGCACAGAGGCATGGTGGTGCTCACCAGCACCCTGAGGGGCTATCTGAAAGCTTTGTTGCAAATCTGAGCTACTGCAATAGTAACAACACAGCTGGTGGTGCCTAAAATATTTCCTTTGTCTTCCTTCCTCTGCATGAAGTACCTTTAGACTCCTGCCCTAGATTCACAGTGGCCACCATGGAGGAGACCCAGAACAAGAGGTGAAGAGGGGATGAGCTAAAGTCCAGAAGGTTCTTACCATGCAACCGTAAAGACCCAAGTTCAGTCCCTGGAACCCATGTGAACTAGTTGGGCATGGTGGGTGATGGGTGTTTGGAATACCACTGCTGTGGGGGGAGATGAGGCCTCTGGGGCTCACTGTTAGCCAGTCCAGCCATATTTGCAAGCCTCAGGCCAAATAAGAGACCTTGTCTTAGAAAACAAGGTGGGTTACCCCTGAGTAATGGCCTCTACACACACACACACACACACACACACACACACACACACACACACACACACAGATGACAAGGTGCAGTCATAAGCTTGGGAAGACAGGGGACTACAGGGTTCACAGAAGAAGAGTCCTGTAATGCAATGAAGCACTTGAACAGTCAGTAGGAAGCTAGGTAGAAACACCTACCACAGCTTGGCCCACCAACTTCCCAGAGCTGAAGTAGTTAGATGTGACTCCTGCCAGGTACCTATAGGCATGAGGCAAGGCTGTCATGGACCTAAAGAGGGTAAAGCCAGCCACCAGCAGCATGTGCTACATGAGCCACAAAATGGGTGGTCTAGCCATTTAAGACTTGACTCATGAAGTCAGAGAACACTGCAGGTACTTAGTAAAGCCAGGTCCAGGGGGGATGAGCAGAGGGCTCTAAATAGGTCCAGAATGCTTTAAAATGTGCTTAGATGCTGAAGAAAATGGATATAGTCATTAGATAGATAGATAGATAGATAGATAGATAGATAGACAGACAGACAGATTAAAAATAGTAAAGTGAAGTATTTAAAGAAAGAGAAAAACAATACAAAAAAAGCCATGCAAGGATGGGAAATACACAGAGCATTCAGATCCTGTATGGTGTTTTTCTGATTTTGAATTTTTTGAATGCTGATAGTGCAAGGTAAAGACTGCTGAGAGACATTGGATTGTAGGGGAAAATACTACTGAATTAAGCCAGCCTGTATCGTTTAAGGATATTTAACTTAAAATGGAAGTCAGAAAATGTGTTGCATTGGGGGAGAGGTTATACTTTTGTTTCCAAAGAGAAAAAAAGAAGGCTATGTGATAGGGAATGTCCTTCTGTAATATGTTTCTCTTATTGGTTGATGAATAAAACACTACTTGGCCAATAGCCAGTAGAGGCAGGAAGATAGGTGGGACTAGGAGATGAGAATTCTGGGAAAGGTAGGCAGAGAGAGACCTTGGAGAGACGCTGTGTAGCTGCCAAAGGGATAACAGGTCTGGGCTTTCTTCAGTAAGACAAGGCCATGTGGAAATATATAGATTAGTAGTTATGGGTTAATAGTTAAGAGAGAACTAGCCAGTAAGAGACCCTAGCCATCAGTCAACAGTTTTATAATTAATATAGTGTCTGTACGTTTATTTGGGGCTAACAGTTGTGGGACCTGGTGAGAAAGAAACTCCAGCAACAACTATGTATTCCTTCAAGACCAATAAAGACCAGATTTGATCAGGGGAGACTTCCTGAAAATCTTGGCTACATACATGAAGGAGGAATTCAAGAAAAACTGTAAGACAAGTGATGCATAAATTAATCCCGCTACATGGGAACAGCTCTGAGGCTAGATGAGACATGATAAATCTTGTTGACTACAGAGTCCCCATGACTAATTATTACATACCATCCTTCATATGGCATGGATGGAGATTTATATTGAAGTTTGGTTATACAGTCCATCCATCTTATAAAGTTAACAGATGTCTTTTATTTGCTCAAACATAAAACAAAAAAATCTTTAGCTGACTTGTGCACACTGCATATTCCACACTTGTGTTAATTCAGATAGGTATGTTACCTTTATAAGTTTGTGTGTCTTCAGAAGAAAAAAAAAGGACCAGATACCAATGAAGACAAGTAGCCTCTCAGAATGCCTCAGTTGCTGTTTCCTCCCAAATCTGCATCTAGAACAACTTCAAAATGTCTATCTGAGATGGTCCAGCCTCACAGACTACTCCAGCCAGGACTTCAAATAATCTCTATACTTTTCCATTACATAAAGACTAAACAACAACAACAACAAAAATACAGCTAGCTCTCCCAGGACTTGGACATTATCTCAATTTTCCCAGGGTCCTCTAAAGATGCCATTGCCCCCAGACAACAGGAAGCAGTCTAGAGAACACAACACCTACATTCCAAAGTGATGGGTATGTGTTTGGTCATTTGGTGAGTTTTGGATGTTTATCATCATTTCGGGGGGTCGTTGCAAGTTGTTATTAGTCATGGTCAAGAAGGAAACTAAGCATGGAAACTAAGGAGGTTAGATTCAAGGATCTTCTTCTGGAAAGATTAAAGGGGGGACTATAATAATAATAGGATATAAGGGTAGATTATTGAATCTACTTTTAAACTAAAAAGCAACTATTAATCTCATTTGTATGGATTTTTGTATATTGATACAAACTTAAGGTTATTTTGCTATGACTATATATATACATATATATATATTTCTACTATTGTTTAAGGTATTTTTGTATATTGATACAAATTTAAGGTTATTGTACCTAAGTAGTTCATTTAATAATGTCATGTAAAGTTCTAGTCCTTGGAAGCTATTTAGGATAATAAAGAAATGCAGGTTTTAGTAGTGAGTCATCTACAGCGATCAAACTTATATTCATAGTAGGTATGTTTCCAAGGTCAAATAGACATATTTTAGATAGATAGATGATCTTCAAATGCTTCAGAGGTATAAGGAATATGGCATTTAAGATGTTTTAATAGCATTAGGCTTTTCCTGACAGTGAGGTATGTTTGCTCCTGGTAGCACCAATTTACTTCAAAAAAGGATGATGGGCATTAAAGAACCTCCACATAGAGTTTGCTTTCAACATGGTAAAGCTAGCCATTGGGCAAGAAACTGTCCTTGCCTCGACTGCTGACAGTATGGCTGTCCAAATTGGACAAGCAGGACACAAAAGAAGATGACTGCTGAGCTTTGCTAAGACACAATAGGCCAATCCCTCAAAATTCCTGCTTCACAGAAAAGTCTGTTAGATATTCTAGGACTGTAGGCTAACAATGGATGTCCCAACATTGCAGAGGAATCTTGGCTGACTATCCAAATAGTCAGCTGTTTCTGTCATTTATATGATTTTGGAAGTTGCTTGCTCCGCACTTCCTGTTTACTCAGGCAATATTATATTCTTCTTGAGTCTCTTGTGGGGTTGAAGAATAAAACAGTGATAGTTTTACAATATTCCTTCTTACCAAATTCAGAAAAGAAACTTACAAAAGATATGTAAAGTTTATAAAGGTTGAGAGACGTAAAAGCTTAAGCTCTTTATCTAAGAAAATGTTTTAAGGACTAAAAAGATATTTTTAGGATGCTAATA